AGGTAGTACCAAATGTAATAACCACTTGTGTGAGTTATTTTACAACAGGAAGTCCTGGTAAGGAACATGGAACTAACAAGCCACCACCTACTGGAAGAATCCGGGAAAGGTCAAAAGGAGACGCCACGTGTCCTACAACCTCCCAGAATCCTCCTCCCTGACATATTGGCCAAGCAATGTGTGTACCACCAGGAAGGACCCCGAGTCAGAGTGATTGGCCAGAGATAACCGGGAAACTAATCCCATCACCAAAAAACCCAAGACTGCAAGCCATGTGGCAAAGCAGTTCTTCTAGGTTCCCTTATCCTCCTGCTCTCTACCTAGGCACCCCTTCCCAATAAAGCCTCTTGTTTTGTCCGTACCTGTATCTCCTCAGACAATTAATTTCTGAGTGTTAGGCAAGAGCCCACTACCTCTTCCTGCAATAGTTGGGTATGTTACTGCCCTCCCAACAGATGAGGGAACTAAATCACAAAGATGTAAGTCACACAGCCAGTTAAGTCACAGCGCCAGGGTGTGAGCTCTGGTGGTCTGACCCTGGAGCCCCATAATCTCAATCATTCATCCGACAGATACTGGGTACCTGGCAGGATCCAGAGACACAGGGGTGCAGCAGCACATGGTCCCTGCCTCCATGGAGTTTACGGACTCTGGGAATGACAGGCATGGAACCAGTAATTACAAGTAGATAAAGGAGAGGCACAGAGGGTTGTAGAAGCTCATACCTGATGCCTACTAAAAAGGCGATGATACGAAGTACGTGATCATGTTGAAACAGACTAGAAGCTGGGACCCTTTGCTGCAGTGCTTACACCTGGACAAACATCCCCTGGAGCAACAGGACACAAAGCAACTGGAAGGGACTAAAAATAACTGCATGGGCACTTCCTGGTGCTCTAGTGGTTAAGACTCTGTGCTCCCAATGCAGGGGGTTCAAGTTCAATTCCTGGTCAAGGAACTAGATCTCACATACTGCAACTGAAAGATCCTGCATGCTTCAACTAAGAATTTGCATATCGCAGTTAGAGTTCACATGCTGCAACTAAAGAACATGCATGTCGCAACAAAGACTGAAGATCCTGCGTGACACAACTAAGACACAGAGCAGGCAAATATTCCTTTAAAAAATAAAGTAACTGCACACGTGTGCAGTTGGGGCAAATCATGAACATGATACAAAAAGACGAAAAACTACCTGCCACTTCTGAGGTGTTGTGGGCGAAAGCAGGGGGCCGCGGCATGATTCCTGCAAACGGCACCACCAAGGGGGTGGGCAGACCACCTAAGCCCCTCTCCGGCCTGACCTATGGTTCTACCCCTACCCTCACCCCATTTGAGGGACCAGTTTGCCCCACTTCAGGCAGTGAGCAAGGGAAACTACTCCTTTTTTTGCTGTCTCTGCAAAGCTTTGCCTGATTTCTTCCTCTGGCCTCTTATCAACTTCTATTGATTAAGGAGTACAAGAACTCTGGTCAGTAACAAAATTAACATCAACTATCAAGGTCAAACCAATACTCTACATATTCAGGGGGAAATATAAGATGGGAAGCACCGATATCTCTGGTATTATAGAAATACAAATACAATGGTCATTTTCCAAGTCCAAGCAGGTTCTGACAAATGTGTCCAATATGTTGACTGATTTACATGAAAAAAATATTATTACCCAGGCTTTAAAGTTTAGTGAAATTAATTATAATTTCATTTAATCTTCATTTTAAAAATTCAAGACTCCTGGTCACTTTAACAATTAGTTTGTTCACGTAGATGCCTCCATGACAGATGGATAAACTCCATACTCTAGGATACGGTTTCTAAAAATAAACTTTCTGATTTAAGGACAGAGTTTGATCTTACCTTAAGGAGCTCTGATTCCAGAGTCAGAGACACACCTGAACTAGATTCCAGGTCTGTCATTACTACATGTCATCGGACAGGCTTCTTACCATTTACAAGCCTTGATTTCTTCATCTGTAACATGTGATAAAAGATTGCTCATATTTCAAAGGTTTGTTGTGAAGATTGATTAGAAAATGCCGGTAAAATGCTTAGAACAGTTCTTGACCCATAATAAACACCTCCTGTCTGTGAGCTGCCATTATTACTATTATTCTAAATAGTTTGCATACTGAAAGAAGAAGAAAGGGGAGAAATAGTAAATGGACAGAGTGTGGATGAGATGCTTGAAATGTGTTAGGGAACATGGCCTCAGAGAACAGTTAATAAGAGAAAAGTCAGCAGAGTGGAAAGAACTAGAAAAATCCTATATTCAGAGTCCTCATTGCAAAGGAAGGTAAATGGAAGCTGAGAACTGTTAATAATTAATTAATCTGTGTTTAAGAGAAGAGTGAACTTCAATGTGGGTGATTAAAACAATAATCCACCTCTAGCTTTCTTTCATGTCTGAGCAGTACCTAGAACACATCAAAGGAGAGAAGTAACAGCTAAAACTAGCACATGTTTCCACTTGGGTACTGCCTGACTGTTCTTATATTCTATCAACAGGTGTATATGAGCCTCAGGTGAAGCAAACTTCAGTTTACGAGTCACGTAATAAAGGAGGAAAGGGACACAGAAATTCTCTAAACTGATGGTTTTTAAGTTTTTAAGCCACAAAACCTTTTCTGAAAAGAAAAGCATGAACACAAGAAATAAAACATGCAGTACTGAGGTCCCGGGGCTTCCCTGATAGCTCAGTTGGTAAAGAATCTGCGTGCAATGCAGGAGACCCCCATTTGATTCCTGGTTTGGGAAGATCCACTGGAGAAGGGATAGCCTACCTACTCCAGTATTCTTGGGCTTCCCTTGTGGCTCAGCTGGTAAAGAATCCACCTGCAGTGTGGGAGACCTGGGTTCAATCCCTGGGTTAGGAAGATCCCCTTGAGAAGGCAAAGGCTACCCACTCCAGTATTCTGGCCTGGAGAATTCCATGGACTGTATGGGGTTGCAACGTGTCAGACACGACTGAGCAACTTTCACTTTCACTTCACTTCACTGAGGTCCCAGCAGAGATTGAGCCCCAGCACCAAGCAGCTCACCCTCATTCAGAATGTGGCTCAGAAGTATAAACTGAAAGCTACACATACTATCCCTCAACATTTTTTTGGCCATGTCATGTGGCTCATGGGATCTTAGTTCCCGACCAGGGATTGAACCTGGGCCCCAGCAGTGAAAGCACCGAATCCTAACCACTGGACCACAAGGGAATGCCTACTTCTCAACTTTACAGATGTGGAAAGTGAAGATCAGAAAGGTGAGGGGACTTCCGCAAAATTGCAAATAGATGGGGACAAAGCTGGAAACAGAATCCAACCAGTTTTCTGATGGCCAATCAGGTTCTCTTTTTACCACTGAACATTACCTTCTTGACTGACATACCAAAAAGATGAGGAAGAAAGTAAACCACATTTGAGAAGAATGTGTCTCATCTCATCATAGGAAAAACACAAAAATGGAAGGCTGGAGAGAATGAAACCTGGCAGCTTGGGCTCCACTAATCTGCATACAAACAAAACATCACCTCCACCAGTGGCTGACTAGACTTACCAAAACAGTCTTTTGAAGAGTAAAACATATTAAGGAAGAAAAAAACCAACTCCATGAATCCCCTGGTAATCCAGTGAACTCTGCACTTTCACTGCCAGGACCCAGGTTCAATCCCTGGCTGGGGAGCTAAGTCATGCACCACTGTCCAAAAAAAAAACATCCCTTCACAGTGAATGTCTAACAGATTTGCATTTACAACTACATTGCATATGCATGCACATAATTACACTTTGGAGGACGTTTAAGCCACATTAATGGGACTGCGAAGGAATGATAAAAGGGCCTGAATAGCCAACAAAATTAACTACAGTGACTAATGGATGAATTATAGTCATATGATACTGAGCGTGATTTGGTGTTCTGTTCACAGAACTCCAGCTTAGGTCATCTGGTTGTACTTTAAGAGTCTGTATTCTAAAACCAAAGGTCAAATGAAGGGCTTCCTTTTTCAACTTGTATGCTGTGCAGTTCAGAGCTCATATCAACACCAGTAAATCATTTTCTAAAGTACTATCACAACCCTCTGTTTAAGACACCAGTGATGTAGACAGAGCCTTCAAAATCCAGCTCCTTCATGGCCTTCACAGTTTCAGTTTCCCTCTGACTTACTAAGCCTGAGTATACAACTACACAACCTACAAGACAGAGAGAAATGCTATGACCTTTTAGCCTGTGAGACCCCATTGTGTTTTCACCCTTTAATTTCATATAAGGAAGATTTACAGTATCTAGAGAGAAACTGGGGCTTCCCAGGTGGCTCAGGTGGTAAAGAATTGGCCTGCAATGCAGAAGACTGGGGTGCGATCCCTCAGTTGGGAATATCCACCCCCTGGAGGAGGGCACGGCAACCCACTCCAGTATTCTTGCCTGGAGAATCCCATGGACAGAGGAGCCCAGTGGGCTACAGTCCATAGGGTCTCAAAGAGTCGGACACGACTGAAGTGACTTAGCACACACGCATGCAGAGAGAAACTATCCCATAGTTTGACACATTATTTCCTGGCCTTAGCTATATCACTGGGAAAGATTGAAGGCAGGAGGAGAAGGGGACGACAGAGGATGAGATGGCTGGATGGTAACACCGACTTGATGGACATACGTTTGAGCAAGCTCTGGGAGTTGGTGATGGACAAGGAAGCCTGGCATGCTGCAGTCCATGGGGTCGCAAACAGCTGGACATGACTGAGCAACTGAACTGACTGACTAGCTATATCACATCCCTTAAGAGTGTCTCAGGGGTTTCCCAGGTGGCGCAGTGGTAAAGAATCACCTGCCAATGCAGGAGACACAAGAGACGTGGGTTCAGTTGCTGGATCAGGATGATCCCCTGGAGGAGGAAATGGCACCCAATACCAGTATTCTTGCCTGGAAAATTTCATGGACAGAAGAACCTGGCGGGCTACAGTCCAAGGGGGTCAAACACGACTGAACAACTAAACACAAGAGCATCTCACCTCTTCCAGTTTAAAAACCTCTCCAATGTGTGGCTGGATGCGCCCTTCCTGGCAGTACTGAAGTGCTGAGGACAGGGTTCTGGAGAAGATGGGAAAGTTCTGGTGCCGGTATCTGCCCCAGTACAGCCCCATGGCAGTAGCACTCTTCAGGAGCAGGAGATTGGCTGGTATAGAAGCAATGGTTCCTCCAGCAAAACCTACCACCACAATCCTGCCCTCATACGCCAGGCTGAGGGGAAAAGGGGGGAAAACAAGATTATAAAAGACAATGCACATTCACAGCCATTAGGATGGCTACTACTAAAAATAAAATAGAAAGTAAGTGTTAGCAAGGATTTAGAGAAATGGACCCCTCAAGGAACATTGGTGAGATTGTAAAATAGTGCAAATGCTATGGAAAACAGCATGGAGGTTCCTCAAAAACTTAAAACTAGAACTACCATATAACCCAGAAATCTCACTTCTGAGTCTATATCCAAAAGAACTGAAAGCAGAGTCTTAAAGAGGTATTTGAAGAGCCAAGTTTACAGTAGCACTATCTATAAAAGCCAAGAGGTGGAAACAATCCAAATGTCCATCCACTGATGGATTGGTAAACAGAAGTTGTTATATACATATAGTAGAATATTATTTAGCCTTAAAAAGGAAGGAAATTCTGTCCCATGTTAAGACATGGATGAACCTTAAGGTCATTACGGTAAGTGAAACAAGCCACTTATAGAATACTGTATTATTGTATGAATGAATATTGCATTCTGCTTATTTGGGGTATCTAAAGTAGTCAAATTCATAGAAATAAAGTAGAATAGTGATTACCAAGGGCTGGGGAGAAAGGGAGAAGAGGGTTGTTTAATGGGTACAGAATTACAGGTTTGCAAGAAGAAAAAGTCATGAAGACCTGTTTCACAATGTAAATATATTTAACACCACTGAACTATACATTTTATAGCAGTTAATATAGCAAGCCTTTTGTTATGTACTTTTTACCACAATAAAAAAAAGAGTGAGGGAAGAAAAAGCAATGGACAGTAATTAAGAGGGGCAGAAAATAGAATAGAGCTTATGGGAGTTGGCGGGCAGTTGTTTAATGGGTACAGAGTTTGTACTGGAGATGGTTACACAATATTGTGAACAAGTTTAATTGTACACTTAACATGGTTAAAATGTTAAGTACTAGGTTACCTGTATTTTACAATAATTAACAAAAAAAAAGCAACATGCATTAAATCCCCAGTTGGGAATTCCTCTTGACCTTGCAAATTGGCAGGGGGGAACCATTCTGCACCAGTTTGGATTTCTCAGTCGGAAAAGATAAAAATAAGCCATAAGCAAGAAAAAGAGTAGGGAGCCAGAGGAACTAACCAGTCTTGTAAGGGGACTACACGGATCCCTTCTGTGGGCAAGCTCCTCTCTCTGCTTCTTCTCCTTTAAACTAAGATAAAGCACAAAACTATGCTTGCCAGGATGACATGAGAAATGAAGCTAATATTATCAGAGCACTGCAAACTTCCTGGTTGAAACAGAATGAGAATTAGTATAGATACAACAGTCCCATGAAATGTCCAGTGATTTTTTTTTCTTTATATAAAACAAGTCAAGAAGACACCTATACTGGTGGTAGCTTCAGAAACCAGTAAGATCAAAAGAGACTCTCCCTTGATGCGTAGTGAACTGGGGGTCTGCCACCCCAGTAATTCTAACATCCAAACAATGATCTCCTCAAGAATTACCCACAGAGGAGAGTTTGGGGGAGAATGGATACATGTATATATATGGCTGAGTTCCTTTGCCATCCACCTGAAACTATCACATTGCTAATCAGCTATAGTCCAATGCAAAATAAAAAGTTTAATTAAAAAAAAAAAAGAATCACCCATACCATGTATCTAAAGTAGCTAGTGGGTGCAAGCAGAGCTGAATTTAACACATGTATCATTTCTAAAGCATTTGATATTGCCAACTAGAGAGTCTGCAGTTATTTTATTTTTTTGGATATTTTCCAGTTGGCTTTTTTGTTTTTGCTAAATTTAAGCATTTCCTGATTTTCCCTCCGCTTCTATTCCTTTTCACCCACCCACTCAGCTGTTCCCGTTGATGCCAGTGCCTGCAGGAAAAGTGAGCAGCAAAAACACGAAAGCAGCAAGGCCAGAAGGAAGCCAGAGGTCTGGGAAGGTTTCAGCACAGCCCCCGGCCTAGCCCACCCAGGAGGACCACTTCACCTACCTGCGGAGAGCCTCCAGGAAGACGTCTCCTCCCACCATGTCAATGACCACGTTCACCCCGCCACTGCCCACCAGCTTCCCCACTGCCTCCTTAAGGCTGCCCCGACTGTAGTTCACGCTGGACTGTGCCCCTCTCTGCATCGCCAGCTGACACTTTTCATCACTTCCAGCTGCAGCTATTACCTACATGAAGAACACAACACTTCAGATGGTCCAGAATATGTAGCAAGAGGGGCTCACCCGACCCACCCCACCTCCAAACAAAGGGTGCTGATCAAGGAAACCAATGTGACCTCTGTCTTAGCACCAGCCTCAATCCAGCACAGCAGGCCCATCACACAGCATCAATGCACTGGCCTCTCCACGCCCCACTGACAACCGGGTCCACGTTTCCAGGAACCCTGGAAGCTCAATGGGTCTAGCTAAGAAACAATTCAGGAGACACAACGCCTTCTCCAAATGAAAATTTAAACCACTCTTTATTGCTGTGCTTAGTCGCTCAGTCGTGTCCAACTCTCAGCAACGTCATGGACTGTGCCCACCAGGTTCCTCTGTCCACGGGGACTCTCCAGGCAAGAATACTGGAGGGGACTGCCATGCCTCCTCCAGAGGATCTTCACAACCCAGGGATGGAACCCAGGTCTCCCACATTGCACGCGGATTCTTTACCATCTAAGCCACCAGGGGAAGCCCATCATTTATTGAGTACCCATTACGAGTCAAGTAGTAAGGATACAACCTAAACACCAAGCTTGGAGCCAAGAAAGCATGATCCAAGCAGTATGATGGCAGAAGCACAGAGGGCTTCGAAGTGCAAGCTAGAGGCACCTAACCTAGAGCTAGAAGATCAGGAAGGGCTTCTCAGGGGGTAAAACATGATTCAGTGGAAAGAGCTTGAAGTCAGACAGACCCAAGTTCAAATCCTGGCTCTGTTACTAACTAGCTATGTTACTTAGGGCAAATGACTTAGTAAGAACTAACACTTATATAGTGCTTACTCTTTGCCAGACACTATTCTAAATGCCTTACATATATATTAATAACTCATTTCATTTTAATAGCCCAGTAATATACATACTATTACCATCCCCATTTTGAGGATGAAGAGACAGGCCAAAGAAGTTGAGTATCTTGCCCAAGGTCACACAGCTCATGGGAGGCAGAACTGGGATCCAAACCCAGGTAATTCATCTCTAGAGTTTATGCTTTTAACATTTGTCTGTATTGCCTGCCAAATTCTCTAAGTTTCAGTTACCCATCCATAAACTAAGATATATTTTTAAAATTAAAAGGAATAAACACTTGGGAAACAAAGTGTTAGATAAATTGAATCTGTTGTTATATATAGGCAATTATTTATTCTATTTAAACCTCATAAAAACATTATGGGGGACTTACAGTTACTCTCATTCTGAAGATGGAGACATTGACCCAGAGAGGTTAAGTAATTAAGCCAATATTATCCAGGTAGCAGGTGGTAGAACAACTATTCAAATCCAATGCTACTGATACTGAAGTCCACTCCTTCGAGCTGGGAGAAAGCCATGCCTACAGTCTGCCAAAGAGGACATAGATGGCTGTGGGCCATACTGTGAGGAGGTCTGAGGTTTGGAAGTCTCCAGAAAAGCTTCAGACACTGAAGCACTGTCTAGAGGTGCCTGTTCACTGGGCAGCCCCCACCACCCCAAGCACTTTGGCTTCAAGATGACCTTCAGAATGTGCATTCAAACACCCAAGAACATCTGTGCCCTTAAAAGAGTCCAGACTCACCCATAACTATTTGAAGATAAAAGTTACCCTCAAATGCTCCCCAATGGAACCCCCAAACAGCTGCACTGCCCAGCAGAACCCACACACAGTGCTACAGTGGGCACATACCAGACTAGGGTCGGGCACCTGATTCCAGCTCCAGAATTCCTTGTAGGAATCCCAGTGAGGCTTGCTGTGAATCATTTTCTCTCCAGGTGCCTCACTTTCTTTATCTGTGAAATAGGGATAATAAACACTTCCATTCCCCATCTCCCATGGGTTCTGTGAGGACCAAGGATAAGATAATTGCTGTGCAGGCAATGTGAAAGCAACCTGAGATGCTGTGAATGGAAGGTGTCATCAAAATGACATGTTCTGAGCAGTGACATGATGACATTATTCTTTTGTTTGCTTTTGCTTAAAACCATTATTCCTGCTAAAGAAAATACATGCGTGCATGCTCAGTCACTAAGTCGCGTCTGACTGTTTTGCAACCCCATGGACTGTAGCCCACCAGGCTCCTCTGTCCATGGGATTTCTCAGGCAAGAATACTGGAGTAGGTTGCCATTTCCTCCTCCAGGGGATCTTCCTGACCCAGGGATCGAATCCATGTCTCCTGGGATTAAATATTGGAATTAAAGCAAATTTTTCCCTCTACTTAACTTCCTGTATCTATTTAAAACAAACAGTACATATCTTGTCTTCCCAGAAATGTTAAATAGTCAGTGTTTCTAAACAATGAGACTAATTTTGTTCTCCCCCTTAAGAGAGGTGCTATAAGCCCTTATTTTGAGTGTGAATGTGTTAATATCCCATGAGGAGCCTCCTGGTATCTGAGACCAGTTTCAGAACTCACATGTCCTTCCCAAAAGAGAGTCAATGTGAGAAGAGAGAGCTGCCACCTGGAGAAATTCCAGATCAGTCCAATTATCACCAAACCTGGACAGTATCTTTGCGCCTCTAGGCTCCAGAGGAACCTCACCCTCAGCACATCCAAAACTGAGCTCACCATTTCCTCCTAGGTTCTCAGTCCCAACAAATGGCAAATCTCTAAGTGCATCAAGTTTGTGCCTTCCCACTCAATGTCTGATAATAACAGGATCCCTTTTTAAAGGCTCCTCTCCAACACACTATGCCTCAGACTGGTATCTGACACATGTGATCTCAATATTCCCACAACCACACTATGAGAAAAGCACTATTGTACAAATGAGGCGACTGAAGCTATTAAGCTAGAGACAGAGCTAGAGTTTGCACCTAGGTCAGGCTAATTTCAGGGCTTCCCTGGTGGCTCAGATGGTAAAGAATCTGCCTGCAATGCGGGATCCCTGGGTTGGGAAGATCCCCTGGAGCAGGGCATGGCAGCCCACTCCAGTCTTCTTGCCTGGAGAATCTCCATGAAGAGAGGAGCTTGGCAGGCTACAGTCCATGAGGCTGCAAGGAGTCGGACACTACTGAGCAACTAAACACAACACAGCAGCCAACTTCAAAGTCCTCGTTCCTTCAACTGTGTTAGGACGCTCTCCAGTCACCAAATTCTCTATTTTCTTCTACTTTGGTATCTCCCTGATCATCACCTCCAGTGCCCTGTTTCAAGGATCATCACCTCTGGCCTCAATTGCTCCAAGAATCTACCCTACTGTCTCCAGATTACCCCTGACCCCTGACCTTGGCCCATCTCTCATCCACATCGTTACCAAAGTGAACTTTGCAAAAACGCAAAGATGATCATGTCATTCCCCTGCAAAATCTTCAATAGCTCCTGAGAGTTTCCAAGAAATGTTCAGATTCCTCAGTGCTTTTTGATCCTATCTCTCCCCGACATCTCTAGAGTCACCCCCCACCATTCCCCACACATATCCCTTGCTCCACAGATGCTATTTGCCATTCCCTGAAGGAACCATGTTAGTACCTATGTCTCTGTCTTCCCATGACTTAAGTGGCCTTCCCTTCCCTTCTCTTCTTCCGCTACTCAACTGTAAATGTCAGCATAAATGCCCACCTTCTCCAAGAAATTCTTCTTCTCTGACACACACAGCCTCCAAGAAAAGCCCATGTAGAGAACTGGGTCTTTCATGTATTTATTCATTCAACCAATAAATAACTATTTAGGGAATTTTCTGGTAGTCCAGTGGCTAAGACCCCACGATCCCAATGCAGGGGGCCCAGGTTTGATCCCTGGTCAAGGGACTAAAAGTTATTAAAAGTTACGCATGTCACAACTAAAGATCCTACAGGATACAATGAAGACTGAAGAACGCGCTGCAACTAAGACCCAGCACGGCCAAATAAATAAATGAATTTACAAAATAATAATAATTATTGAGTGCCTATGATGGTCTCAGCACCATGCTAGGTGCTGCAATTACAATAATGGATCAAACAGATACTGGTCCTGCCTTGAGGGGATTGCAGTCCAGTGGGAAGGAGACACTGATCCAGCAGGGTTAAGCACACTATGAAAGAGAAATACAGGATGCTCAGGACCACACAGAAACAGTCCCAGGGAGGGGAGGGACAGAGAATACTCCCCCGAAGAAGCAGCAGCTGAGTTTAAATTTGAAGTTCAGGGGGAGACTGTTTAGAGCATTACAGGTAGAAGAAATAGAATCTTCAGAGGCTGTGAGGCGAGTTGCATCTTACCAAGGTCTAATAACTGGAAGCACAAGAGACTTCCTCCTCAGTCCCCTCACTAGTCTGTAAGTAAATAGATGGCAAGACCCTACTCCAGGCTACTTAACATTCCCAGTACCTCACACCTGATTTTTTTTATAAATAAAGGAATATATTCCATGTTTGAAAGCAGGAGGTATGATATTTTTTAATGGAGAATCGAACTTGCAAATACCTTGGCCTGAAGAATGTTTGTTGCCACATCTATCACGGCGAGGCCTGTGGCTCCAGCTGCTGCTGTCACTAAAACAGTTTCTCTGTGCAGGGAAAGATGAGTGTTACTCAAGAAACCAAAAATCATCCAGCAATATGATTTCATGAACATTCTGAAGACGGGACATTTTAAAGCAAGAAGAGAACTGAGAGTTCATCTAGTTTAACCCCCTTCATATGCACGTACACGTACATGAACACTCTCCAGCCTCTCGGGCTATATTATACGTGCTCAGTGCTAATTTGGTCCAGTCCTGAAGAATTCCCAGGTGAGGGTCCCTAATCTCTCTAGACAGCCTCTTCCTCATTCCAGTGGTAGCCTTCCTTTGTGCTACCACTCCAATTTCGGCTTTTAAAATTCTGTCCTAAAATCACTCCCATACTAAACATAGCCAAATTTTAGAAGTTGGTGATCACGTACCAGTCGCTGCTCTTCTAAGCCCATCTCCCTGGAGCAATTCTGAGCTCTCAGAAAAGAGCAAGAAGCTGTGGGAACGCTCCAGGTGAAGTGAGAAATTCAGCACCTCTGAGCTTGAAATACCTGTTAAGTATACGCAGCCAAGCCTCACAGAGGCAAATACCACTGTGTGTGTGCTGGGCTCAGTCACCCAGTGTTCAGTCGTGTCCCACTCTTTGCGACCCCATGGACTGTAGACTGCCAGGCTCTTCTGTCCATGAGATTTTTCAGAATACTGGAGTGGACTGCCATTTCCTTCTCCAAGGGATCTTCCCTACCCAAAGACCAAACCCGTGTCCACTGCACTGGCAGGTAGGTGGATTCTTTACCAACACGCCACCTGCCTATGGTATTTGTTTCTGTGATGCCCAGCCAAGCCTCACAGAAACAAATGCCACAGGCTTCCATTAAAACCAGCGTGAAATGAGTTGAAATAAACCAGCTCTCTAAAATGTAAGGTTTTCTAGGAAGTGATCTCCAGAGGGGTCAGACTTGAGAGAAAGATTTCTCCAAATTCATACTGGCCAAATTCACAGTCTACTGTCCCCTCTCAGGCAAAAGGGTATCCCCACTGTCACCAGGCTCCAATCTTGGGTCACTCCCTTCCTTTAGCTTTTCTTTAAATAGCCGTGAGGTAAGGGTCAGGGAGGGCTTCCCAAGTGGCGCTAGTGGTAAAGAACCTGCCTGCCAATGCAGGGGATGTAAGAGACTCCGGTTTGATCCCTGGGTCGGGAAGATCCCCTAGAGTAAGGCAAGGCAACCCACTCCAGTATTCTTGCCTGGAGGATCCCATGGACGGAGGAGCCTGGCAGGCTACAGCCCATAGCGTCGCAAAGAGTCAGGCACGACCAAAGGGACTTAGAATGTACACAAGGGTCAGGGAAGGGGACTGAGAGGCACGGTCTTGGTGCACATTTCTAGTATTAGAGGAGGAACCATCTATCCCTCTGTCGTCGACACAGTCCTCACCCAGGCTGGGTACAGGCCCGATGCTCCAGGGCGAAAATTGCAGTGCCATACGATACGGGCAGGGCAGCCGCTTCTCGGAGGGACACCTTTTCTGGAATCTGCCACAGGTTCTATAAAAGAGATAACAGTGACTTAGAGATTAAGCACTGTACCTCTTCATAAAGGCTGCTCGATACGTATTATGACTTGACTTGCAAAGGGCAACACATGTCAGGAACCAAGCCCAGTGTAAGTCAAGACCAAGCAAGCGATGGTCAAGAATTTCAAGACTTGGGCACACCCGTTTTAAAAAATCCTAAAGCTGGCATCTGGAACAGGAAGGAACCAATCTGCAGAGGATATAACACATACCACTGCAGTATTAATATAATAAGGGAATTACATGGTACAAAAATTTTACCTTAAATAAAGCTGTTTTTAAAAAAAATAAAATAAAAGGTGTACTATCCACCACTAGGGGGCACCATTCACATCCTGGACAACCACGCCCCTACACCAGCCGGCTACCTCCCAGGAGGATTATCTTTCACAAGCTTGGTGCCGGGAAGAAGTTCATTACCTCCAGGCTTCAAACCAGTTTTTCTACCAAAACCACCTAATATGGTCCAGTTGGACAGCCGGTCGATTGTTCCAGGCCTCAGAAAACAAAATGCCCTTCTTCATTAAAGCACTCCACACAAACAAAGCTCTACGTAATGGTTGTCACACCAAAACAAGCAAACAAAAAAAAAAAAGGTTTAGCATTTGAAAGAAAGAAGTGCTTGGCTGACAAACAAGATATAAGCAAAAGAATACAAAAAGAGAGAGGAAAAGGAGAAAGACTGAGGGATAGGTGAAAATGAAAGACAGCAGAAAAAGAATCTCCAAGGATGAATATTGAGGAGTAGAACTACCTTGTGGTCAATGATGCATTCTTCAGCCATACCATTAAAGCCAGGCAGGCCAATAACTCGATCTCCCTGAAGGGAAATACCATTAAGGATATGTTCAAATGAATGCTCTTGCCATTTAACCCCTTCCCAATTTAACCCAAAAAAGAAAGAAAACTGTTCTTTAACTGATCCAGTAAGACACAGGTTCCCTTAATTATCTATTCAGTGTTACTGCTTAGTAAATAATTCAGCTGTTTTCACACAACCCCCATTAGGCAGTCAAGGCAACTTGAGCACATTTTGGACGATGACTGAACCGAGAAAGGAAAAAACTGATATGAATTAGAATCCCAGTACTCATTTCTCTCGCAAAATACTGAAACTTGAGAATTCGCTATCCTTTCAGTAACTAAAACCCCAGGTACTGCCTTTCATTAGTAATAAGAAGTTTAATGAAGCCAAGCCAGGCTTCCTTCCCTCGATTCAGAATTCGTATCTCCCTGCTCCACCTCGTTCTGCCTTTGGTGTCTGCTGGCAAAGTCCAGGAAAAGCAAGACCCCCTGGCTACAAACTATTTCTCATCAATTCCCTAGATTCAACTAATTTACCTCTTTCACCATGCTGACATCTGTGCCTGTCTCCAATACCATCCCAGAAAACTCCATTCCTAAAACAAATTGTTTAAAGATCAGGTTATCTGTAAAGCCCAGCACCAGAGAGATGGGAAAACTCTGATTGACAGGCTGTCCTATGAGCTTTCTGGAGCCAAAAGGGTTTGTGTTCCACCCCCCACCCCATCCAGGAAGAAGAATAGGAGTGTTATACCCAACACACAGGAAAATGAACTAAGATTTCATGATCACAACTTGAAAAACTATAGCAGTCCCATTCTTACCATGACACAAATGAAAATTTCAAGAATGGGCAAAAGAACAGAGAATCCTGAGTATACAAGCACTTTTGACCCTGATCTCTGGGGCCTTGGGTTCCTCTAGCACCCCCAATGATAATATTCATCATATGGTATTTATCCATTCCCATGTCTCCTCTTCTGGACTATGAGGCCCCCCAAGTATCAGCACTTGGCTCAGTTGGATGAACTGGTGTTGTCTGCTCTTTCCTCCTCCACCTCCAAAATTTCTGAGTTTAATGATCATACATTTCCCACTTGAGCTGCCAGAAGAATAACTCAATTGAGTAAGACATCTTCCCCCCGCAACCAGCCTGTTAGCAAACACAAACAGAAGGAACCGGTTCCAACTGTTGAGACATAACCAAATGCCCAAAGGCCAAAACAGTGCAACTGTTTTGCAATCACTGTATCCTTAGTGGTGTCTATCTGTATAAAATATACATGTGCTGCATATTTACAGTATATAATTGTATATTACATATATATATATATATATATATATAGATACACACCAAACTATACTTATATCTCTTAATAAATTTCAACAACAAAAATGAGTCATTGGTCCACATACTCAGGATCTAAATGTAATCAGATTGAGTATAATGCAAATCAGAGAGCAGCCTCCTAAGAAATGGATAAACTCTGTATCTTCTTCTGATCCTTTGGTATTAGGTTTCTTGGGGAATGTATTTGTGAGGACTGAGAGTCTTAGCTGCAACCAGATGTTTCTGATCCTTCAGTGAAAAAGTAAAATTGAGGAACTGTCAAGGATTGAAAGAGAATGACTATGGCCGTTGATGATTCTGATCAGGATTCTGGTGAGCATAATAATACATAAAATTTTATTTGTTCATTTATGCCTTTTCAAAGTATTTACTGAGGGGTGGATGAAGTAAGTGAAGGGGATTAAGAGGTACAAGTCTGTAGTTAGAAAACAATAAATCGGGTAGAGAGGGAGGTGGGAGGGGGGATTGGGATGGGGAATACATGTAAATCCACGGCTAATTCATGTCAATGTATGACAAAAACCACTACAATATTATGAAGTAATTAGCCTCCAACTAATAAAAATAAATGAAAAAATAAATAAAATAAAATAAAACAATAAAACCACAGGGATGCAATATACAGCAGAAGGAACATAGTTATATTGTAATAACTTTGTAGGGGACACACGGTTACTAGACTTAATGTAGTGTCATTTCATAATGTATGCAAATGTCACATCACTACCTATACACCTGAAACTAACATAACATTGCTTGTCAACTGTGTTTCAATCAATCAATCAAGTATTTATTGAGCATTTAGTATGAGCCAGATACAAGAGTACTAACGGGGCCAGGGCGGGCAGGCAGGATAATGTTGAACCAGACAGTCATAGAACCTTCCCTCACAGTACTAGAATCACTAGAATCTAGTGATTCTAATTAGCAGTGAGGCTGAGATATCTTTTTTTTTTTTTTTTTTTTGGCCACACCACATAGCATGTGGGATCTTAGTTTCCCAACCAGGGATCAAACCTGCATTGGAAGCATGGAGTCTTAACCCCTGGACCACCAGGGAAGTATCAGAGCTGACATATCTGAATCACCACTGAGAGCAGCAAACACCACCATGGTACTAATCATGAAGCACATGGGTCTTTTTTTTTTTTTACCAATTATGATTTTTTTGAACTTTTTGTTTTGTGGTATAGCTGATTAACATTGTTGTGACAGTTTCAGGTGAAGAGCAGAGTGACTCAGATATACACATACATGTATCCATTCCCCCCCAAACCCCTCTCCCATCCAGGCTGCCACATAACATTGAGCAGAGTTCCACATGCTATAAAGTAGCTCCTTGTTGGTTATCCATTTTAAATATAGCAGTGTGTACATGTCCATCAAGCAGTTCTTTTAAAAGTCTCTTTATCTTCTCTTTTTGAAGCAATCACTTTGCCCTTTCATACTTACCAGGTGTGAAGGGGAGTTGATGCCTTTCCTGATACTGACCATGACAGGCCAAAATATCAGCAAAATTAATCCCACAGAAATGAACATCAACTCTGACCTGCAAAGGAAACAGAGCAACAAGGCAGAGCAGCACACGTCTTTGGAGACAAAGTTCATTCAGTTATTCTGTAATATTTACTGAATGTCTACTATATGCCAGGTACTGAACTAAGTACTGGTACACAATCACAAGGCAAAATGGACAAGGAGCTAAGAGTACAGTACAGAAGACAGACATTAACCAGACAATCAGCAGAGTTTATGTGCTAAACTAAAACTCCTACACAAAATGTTAGATAGAAATATATGGTGCTATGGAAGCACATAATGGGGAGATTTGACCTTTGAGGGAAGTAAGAACTGTGAGGAGTTAACTATTCAAAAGGCGGGAGGGGAAGCCTGGCACAGACAAAAGCAATGGCCTGTGCAAAGGCCCAGTGCATGCTTAACTGCTCAGTCACGTCCGACTCTTTGCGGCCCCACAGACTGCAGCCCACCAGGCTCCTGTGTCCCTGGGACTTTCCAGGCAAGAATACTGGAGTGGATTGCCATTTCCTTCTCCAGGGATCTTCCCAACCCAAGGATAGATGGAACAATAGAAGCCATTAAAAGATTTTAAGCAGAGGGTAACATGATCAGCTGTTTTGGGAATCAGGAATTCTAGAAGCTAGAACTAGACTCCCCAGCTTATGCGTTTCATGACAGAGATAAAGCAGAGGCAGGCCTGCAGCAGTTTCTGTAGCCCTTGCTAAGCAGTGGTTCTCACAGTGTGGTCCCCAGACTATAACAGTGTCACCTGGCAACTTGTTGGATGTTCAGATTCTCAGCCCCTTACCTACTGAATCAGAAACTTTAGAGGACCAGCAACCTGTTTTGACAAGATAAATCTGATGCAGCCTGAAGTTAAAGAACTACTGTCACATACCAACCCAACTCAATAGGGCTTGGAAGCAGGGGAGAAAATGAAGGCTGAGACAGAATCAGTCACATTCATTTATCTGTTTACACTTCTTATATCATACAGAGGTGACCATATTGATGAGAAGATATTTTGTGAACAAAATGCATTCATTCAACAATATTTTAAGCATCAGCCACAGGCCAGGCACCATTCCAGACTATGGAGATTTAATGATGGATAAACTCACATAGTCCCAGCTCTCATGAGCTAATTCCTGACACAACAGCCTGGGCAAAGAACAGAACGAAGAAGCCCAGCTCTCAAGCTGTTTGTGTGCTGTCTCAATGATTGTCTCAAACATTATGTGCTGACCTGCATAGCACATATAAATTCCTGAAGCCACTCCACCTTAACTCAATGTGGATATCTTGCAGCATGTGAATCCCAGGAAGCAGGCTGGCTGCTAGCCTACAGTCTCCAAAATTATCCATTTAGTCCCAGGGTCCGCATTAGTGATATTTTGGGACAGCAGCCACATTTCTTACCCTCCGAGTGGTCTCCAACCCTGAGACTCACTGGGACTGTTTCACCTTGTCAGACAGTCTCATTCTCCACACCAGATGAGAATGTCAGCAGGCTGGTCGAGAGGCAAAGCCAAAGTGACTACCACATTTTCCACCACTCTAAATGTGGGTAGATGCCCACAACCCTAATATAATCCCACCCACCCCAAATCACTGCAGTACACCAGAGGAGGGCATATGGCACGTTATCATGGAAATACAGGGCTGGCTGAGGCTGAGGGGAAGCAAAGGATGGGGTCATTTATCTGTGTTAAATCAATAACTTGCAGGCGGTTATGAAAAGTCGTGTGCAAATCAGAATTCTCTGTTTCTAAGGCAACAGCTCTGGGGCCTTCTACATTTGTGTTTTGGGGAACCATCTTCCCTTTGCACTTTGGCCTTTTTGTGACCCAGGAAAGGGCCCATCTAGAAGCCCAGCAGAAAGTTGCGCTCCAGCCTCACAGGGCTCCCCCGAGCTGAGCACTCGGGAACTCAGTCCGGGAGGGGAGCCAGCGGGTCATGGGTGGTGGCCGCGGGGAAGACGGCGTCCTGGTGCCCGGCCAGTCACCTACCTCGTGCGGCTGGACAGGGCGAGGGGCCACCTCCTCAATGACCAGGGGCCGCTTCAACTCGGCGCACAGCGCGGCGCGGTAGTTTCGGCCGCATCCCTGCCAGGCCGTTCTGCAAAGCGGAACAAGGGTCGGGTTACTGGGGCCGAAACTGGGGCCGCCCTTAGGGGTTTGGGGATGAGTCAGCTCGCACCTGCAGAGCCTTGCCCGAGCCCACCGTCCCCACGCCGCTGCCATGGCCCAGAGCAAGTGTCGCCGGAGGGGGCAGGTCCGAGCGCGGCAGTAGGAGCCGGCCGCCGCCTGCCCCGCCCCGGGTGACCGGAAGAGCGCAAGGGCACAGGGCGATTGGCCCGGGGACGTGCCACACGAGCTGATCCAGGCAGGCGGGACAGCCTGGACCGCGCCACCCGCCCGCTTCCTGGTCCCCCGGGGACCCCCCCCCCTCCCGGAGGTGGAGCCCCCGGCGGGGCGTTTAGGGAGGGTGGAGGAAAAAAAGTGTATAGAACTAGATTTCCGCAGATTAACCTTTGTTTTCGTTTTTTGTAGCCAATTCAGGAGACGTTTAACCCACACTTAGGGTTCTTGTATAAAGAACAAACTAGTGGTTAATAGTGTGAGGGGAGAGACAAGATAGGGGAAGGGGAATATGAGGCACAAACTACTAGGTATAAAGTAAATGAGAAACCAAGATGCAATGTACAGCACAGGGAATACCACCAGTATTTTATAATAACTTTTTTTGTAATTATAAATTTTTATTAAAGTACTCTTTTCCCAGGCAAAAGTATTTTCTGTTAATAGAATATTTCTTGACTGCTTCGAAAAGACATTCAAAAAAGACCCTGTTGACCTCACATCTTTTGATATGAACTCTTCCCTTAACTTCTTATAATAACTCTAAAAAATATTGACTGATTATGTTGTACACCTGTAACTGATATAAGTTTGTAAATCCACTATACTTCAACAAAACAAGGTGTAAATAAACAGTTAGGGGGTGAGGGTGGACCTCTGCATGTGCAAAATCCTAAATACATAAAGGTTTTATGACTGCCTTCTACTTGGAGAAGGAAATGGCAACCCACTCCAGTAGTCTTGCCTGGAAAATTCCATGGATGGAAGAGCCTGGTAGGCTATAGTCCATGGGGTCGCAAAGAGTCAGACACGACTGAGTGACTTAACTTTCTCTTCAACATCTTACAAAGGATTTGAGAGGGTAACAGGCAGGAAGGCCAGGGGTCTCCAAACAGAGGAAATAGGCTACAAGTGTCAGACATTTTTTCTCTCTCTCTTAAGCGGCACGAGGTAACCAAAAAGTGTTAGATGTTTTCCCCTTCTCTACACAAATTTAAAAAGAGATCTCTCTTAAAATTCTGTGTTGCCATGATGACACCTGGTCCCACCTGAACTTAACTTTTCTCAAACCTTGAGCTAACCAATGCATTTTTCTTATGGAAATGTTTGTCTTCAGTTCAGTCGCTTATGGTTGTCTTAAGCTATGTTAATGAATTATGTATTTACCTCAGTTCAGTTCAATTTAGTTGCTCAGTCATGTTCGACTCTTTGCGGCCCCATGGACTGCAGCATGCCAGGCTTCCCTGTCCATCACCAACTCCCAGAGCTCGCTCAAACTCATGTCCATCGAGTTGGTGATGTCATCCCACCATCTCATCCTTTGTCATCCCATTCCCCTCCCGCCTTCAATCTGTCCCAGGATCAGGGTCTTTTCAAATGAGTCAGTTCCTCGCATCAGGTGGTCAAAGTATTGGAGTTTCAGCTTCAGCATCAGCCCTTGCGATGAATATTCAAACTGATTTCCATTAGGATTGACAGGTTGGATCTCCTTGCAGTCCAGGGGACTCTCAAAAGTCTTCTCCAACACCACAGTTCAAAAGCATCAATTCTTCAGTGCTCAGCTTTCTTTACAATCCAGTTCTCACATCCATACATGACTCCTGGAAAAACCACAGCTTTGACTAGATGGACCTTTGTTGGCAAAGTAATGTCTCTGCTTTCTAATATGCTGTCTAGGTTGGTCATAGTTTTTCTTTTAATTCCATGGCTGCAGTCACCATCTGCAGTGATTTTGGAGCCCAGAAAAATAAAGCCTCTCCCTGTTTCCATTGTTTCCCTATCAATTTGCCATGAAATGATGAGATCAGATGCCATGATCTTAGTTTTCTGAATGTTGAGTTTTAAGCCAACTTTTTCACTCTCCTCTTTCACTTTCATCAAGAGGCTCCCTAGTTCTTCGATTTCTGCCGTAAGGGTAGTGTCATCTGCATATCTAAGGTTATTGATATTTCTCCCAGCAATCTTGATTCCAGCTTGTGCTTCATCCAACCTGGAATTTTGCATGATGTACTCTGCATATAAGTTAAATAAGCAGGGTGACAATATACAACCTTGACATACTCCTTTCCCTATTTGGAACCAGTCTGTTGTTCCATGTCCAGTTCTAACTGTTGCTTCCTGACCTGCATACAGATTTCTCAGAAGGCCAGGTGGTCTGGTATTCCCATCTCTTGAATTTTCCACAGCTCATTGTGATCCACACAGTCAAAAGCTTTGGCATAGTGAATAAAGCAGAAGTAGATGTTTTTATGGAACTCTCTTGCTTTTTCCATGATCCAGTGGATGTTGGCAATTTGATCTCCGGTTCCTCTGCCTTTTCTATCCAGCTTGAACATCTGGAAGTTCACGGTTCACATACTGTTGAAGCCTGGCTTAGAGGATTTTGAGTATTACTTTACTAGTCTGGTGAATTCCCTGGCAGTTCAAATGGTTAGGACTCTGTGCTTCTATTGCAGAGGGTCTGGATTGATCCCTGGTAGGGGAATTAAGATCCTGCAAGCCTAGAAACCAAAAAAAAAAACAAAAAAACAAAAATAAACCCCCAAAAAAGGACACCTGGTCAAAGAGCATATAGCTTCTGAGGTTCAAGCCCAACTCTAAAACCTATTTGTGTGGTTTTGGCAATTCTCAAGCCTGTGGAGTCCAGTTCCTCCCCCCAAAAGTGAAAGCATCAGGCAAAATAATCCCTAAATTGCTAAATTCTGTTTCTATTTGATGGAAACAATAGTCTAAGGTAGCACAGAATTATGGAATGATCAGGAATAGAATAAAGGAAAAATAGAAAGCAAAAATGAAGTAGCAATGAACTTCTAAAATTATGGCCTAAAGAAAGGCTTTGGTAGGAAAAGAATTTAAGAAAAGTGAAGGTCACTGTTCTCTTAAGAGCACTGGCAAGGGGCGGGACCTGGGGGAGGGGGTGCATCTGGTAGTCATTTTAGCCCCACCTCCCTCAGGGACAAACTAAGAGGAACAAGGACTGGAAGGTGAGAAAGTGGAAAAAGTTTTCTTCCATGAAATACTTTGTAAATGCTTAGTCATTAAGTACATAAATCACACCACAAGGAGCAGAGAAATACCAACATTATCATCATCAGAATAACATTCTG